TCTGCGGGGAGGATCTGCAACTCATTGCTGCTCACATCCTACGATCAAGCAAGCAGCAAGAAAAAAGAGCCATGAGAATGGGATCATGAGAAAGTACCCTCCCTTCTGCCTCCAAGCCTTTCCCAGAGGTGCTTCCTGTCTGTCCCCCAGCCTCCCTCCCTCCCCCACAGAGGTCAAGGGTTCCTGCTCCCCATTCTCACCAGCTGCCGCAGGCTTCCCAAGGTGCCGATGTCGGGAGGCAGGGCTCCCAGTTTGTTGTTGCTGACAATGAGCACTCGAAGGGGAAGCTGGCAGATGTAGGGAGGCAAGGATGACAGCTGGTTCCGGCTGTGGAAGAGAGAGGGGCAGCAGGTCATTCCCTCAGCCTGGCATCCTCACAGGGCCAAGGATAGTTGCTCCATGCACTGAGACCTTGAGACTGGTACGGGTGAGCTCCCCTGCTACCTGAGGTTGAGGTAGGTGAGGGCTGTGAGGTTTCCCAAGGCGGGGTTCAGACATCTCAGGCAGTTGTGGTAGAGGCTCAGGCCTTCCAGGGACACCAGCTGGCATGCTGCCTCGGGTACCTCGGGAAACCGGTTCCGGGACAGGTCTAAGGGAAGCAAGTGTCAGGAGAGAGCTTGGAAACTCAGTCCTGCATGAGGGGACCCAGAATGACCCCTAAGCCAGCTGCCCAGCTCCCTACCCTTGGCTGAGTTACAAGAACCAAGCCCAGAAACCCGGGCTCCCTAGAGAGACAACACAGCCTTCTGCTAGATGGCCACAAAGGCAAAGAGAAAGCGAAGGTGTTGGGGTCACTGACTAAGCAGCGACCAATGAGTGAAAAACCCATGGGGGGAGTGGGGATATACTGTGAATGCCACTTTCAAATTCACAAACCAAGAGCTATCCTGCTAGGTCTTGTAACCAGTGGTTCCATGTGTTCTGGAATGCAGGGGAAGGTAGAAGGGGAAAAAATATCACAGGAGGGGGCTGCACTCATAGGAAAAGTCAGGTGGAGTAGAGGGAGCTCAATGAAGAGCAAATGCATAGCATGTGGCCTTGGTTTGATTCCCCACATTAAGAAAAATAAAGACAAAAGTAAGGTGATAGGATGAGAGGGCTCAAGGGAGGACTTAGGGACCGCTGCAAAAGCCCTTCCTCCCGGGCTGGGAAGGTGGCTCAGTGGTAGAGCGCTTGCCTTGCATGCTCGAGGCCCTGGGTTCGATTCCTCAGCACCACATAAGCAAAAAGAAAAAAGCTGGAAGTGGCACTGTGGCTCAAGTGGTAGAGCACTAGCCTTGAGCTGAAGAGCTGAGAGACAGTGCCCAGGCCCAGAGTTCAGGCCCCATGACCGGACCCCCCCCCCAAAAAAAAAAGCCCTTCCTCCCAATCTCAATTTGTTTTCTTCATGGGAGAAGCCAAGGTCAGTCACTATATCCTGGTTCTAGAGATTATATAAAGTCCCTAACACTGGACAACAATTTTTTTCACTAGGCCCCAGGACCAAGGAACTACAGAGTTCTAGCTTGCCTAAGACTGGGAGGGAGAGGAAGGCAGAGGAGTGAGCTTGAACGGGGTCTGAAGTTCTCAGGTACTTTCCCTCTGGGCTTCCCTGCCTCAGCGCTGGGCTCCCCCCACCCTTCTCTCCAGCTCGGGCAGCCTTCCTCTATTTCCTCCCAGATTGACCTAGACCACAAGAGTTCAGTCCCTCTGCAAGTATCTTGGATTTGACAGGGAGTGGAACGGAGGCGGGGAAGAGGCTGTTTCCCTTTCTTATCTAACTATGTTGGCTCAGGACAGGACAGCCTCCAGCCAGACCTAGGGGTTCTCTTCAGCCTGCAGACTCAGCCTGAGCTGTTGTTTCTGTTTGCCCAGCTCAGCTTGCACTGGGAGGGGCCCAGGCCTGCTAAGGGAAGTCCCAGGCAACAGAACTTGGGGGAGTTTCTTGAAGGCCCTCCTTCCAAGGGAAGGGGGAGCAAAAAGCTAAGAGGAGGGGAAGCAGGGGCTTATCCCCCAAGGAAATGGATCTTGTGACAGGAAATGAAGTAGAAACAATCTGTCAGATCATGGCTGGTAGAATCTGTTTATGTTTGCTCCACTGCTCTGCCCCAGGAGACATTGAGCCACAGCTAAAAGACAGTTCCAGTGTCCTCCCGTCCAACAGCTGCCTGCGACCTCGGTGCCTGCAAATGTGTTTGCATGTGTCCATGTGCATGCAGTGGTGGAGAGCAAGTTCTCATGGGGTAAGAGTGGCAGGGCACACACGAGGAGCAGAGCGGAAGGGAGCCCAGGCTGAAGGAGGCAGGGCTCAGGGGCACAGGATGTGGGCTGTGGGAGAAGGCGCTATAATATACTTCTCCTTTGCTATGGTGGCCCGCCCCTACCCAGAACTCTTCCTACTAAGTGGGCCCAGGGAACAAAGTCCTAGGTATAATATCAGGGGCCTGCGCAGAGTGAACTTGCTAGGAAGGCTCAGAACCAGCAGGGAGGGGAGGAGGAGAGGATAAGCAGAGTGTTGAAATGTTCAACCTAGGTTGAAGGACAGAGTGGAGGACTGGGTAGGAAGGACTGTCTACCAACTTCCCCTTTATACTCTAAACTAGGAGCACTCTGCTTGGGGAGTAGGCACAGAGGAGAGTGATCTGTCCAGATGGAACCCACCTGGCCTAGAACTTGGATCCTGCAAGGATTAGGGAGGGTAGAGAGAGGTTCTCAGGAAGCTGGGATTTTCCCTGCTTCGCCACCCAAGTGAACCCATGGGAACCGGGGCTGCACCCTGAGCCGGAATGCTAGGGGAGGTGGCTGGGTGGGGGCAGGGACTGGGAGGTGCTGGGAGTTCTTGGTAGTTTTCCCCAAGAGTCCACTCACTGAGACAGAGCCCTAAGGAAGTAAAGAATAACATTTGGTCTTTGTCAAAAAAAAAAAAAAAAACAAGCGAGGGGGAGGGGAAAGGGAACAGACAGCCAGTGTCACACAGCTGCTGAGGTCAATCTGGAGCTTATGGGTGGGAGGCTGGAAGGGTTAGGAATGGCTCAAGGAGGTTGCCCATTCTCCAAAGTCACTCATTGAGTAGTGGGCAAGAGAATGTAGTATTTTAAACCGGTTCTTCCCATAACAGCAAAGGGAGTGTTTCCCAGTCCAGCCTGAGTGGTTGCATGGGGGAATGGGGAGAAGCATGTACCTACCGGAGGAGAAATGTACTCTTTCATTCAACCCCATAACCCCAATTCCGAAGCTGGGTGAGAAGCAATAGGCTCTATACAACAACCTAGGCTTGGATGGGGCTTAGGGAATGAGGTTCCCTACCTCCTGAGCTCCACCCTTTTCTGATAACCCAAGGTCAGAGGGCCGCCCCCGAGCAGCTGAAGCCTGACTCACCTGTCATAACAGTGTTCCCTGCACCACCACCAGCACCACCACCCCGCCCCTCAATTAACAGGCACAAGAGTGGATGGGACATGATTAGAAGAATCTTGCCACCTCGTAGGGAATAGAAGGAGAGTCTCCAGAGGAGACTCCTCTAGCTAGGAGATCGAATTTCCTTCCTCCCAGTAACGGCCTCGATTCCCCCACATCCCCCCTCCCGAAGGGAGAGCAGAAACTGCAATGGGAATTGTAGGATTCTTATGAGGTCACAGGCATCAGTGACCTCACAGATGCAGGAAGGAAGAGGAATCTCAGCTATAGGGGTCAAGGATAACGGGAGGAAAAACTCAGGGACGAGAGTTAAGTGAGGTAGATTTGCTTCCTTCCTCTGGGTTGGCTGAGTGAACAGTGGGGCCTGGCACCTAAGGGGGCGGGGCTATGGCCAAGTCAGCAGAAACATCGGGTTGTTAGGGGTGATACACAGAAGGGGGCTGCTCAGATCGTAGTGGAAGTGGAGTAGAAAGTTGGAGACGAACAAGGAGGGAGAGGTACAAATGGTTTGAGAGAATGTTTTTCTTTCGGGCGACGATCTCAGAGCCGAGGTGGAAGGGAACATGCAAATGAGTCCACCAGGTGAGGGGCGGGACCACGGTACAGGTGCACGGTATGCAAATAAAGTGGGCTCTCAACGCCCCGGCCAGTCACACTGGGCATTCGGTGCAAACCCACATGAGCGCCCATTCATTGTCCCGTGGTTCTTACAGCCGGGAGGGGGTGGTCGCAGGCTTATGCCAATCAAGCCCAGGGAGCGCCCGGGCGGCTAGGTGAAAGGGCGGGCCCCATTCGCGGGCGGGACGGGGGCGTGGCTATGCAAATGAGGGTCGCGGCCTCCTACCCCAGTCCCCCCGCGCGCGCGCGCGCACACTCACCTGCCTGAGTGATGTCTGACAGGTCATAGCTGCGGGCCGCGCCCCGGGGGAAGTGCTTCAAGCGTCGGTTAGACAAGTTCAGAGTCCCGGTGGCCACAGCCTCCTCTAGGGCTCGCTCTGCACTACGGCTCCCGGGCAGACCCGGAGATCCCGGTACGGAGATCGTGGCTGCTGCCTCTTCACCCCCGGCGGCAATAGGGGCCGCTACCGCCGCCGCCATCCGCTCCCGGCGGCTCCGGCTGCCTGACTGACGGGACCGGCCGTCTCTCCCTTCCCCTCCCCCGCCCGGGAGCCGCCGTAGTAGCCTCGAGTGGGAGGAAACGGGGTCCGGGACCCAGCGGACCAATCGGAGGCGGGAGACGCATTGGAAGCGGCTAATCAGAACCCGGCGGAGGGGTGGAGCCTCCGGCGCCGGAGCCCGGCGGGAGAAGGGCGGGGGAAAGAATGGAGCACTCGCCAACGGCCGACGCTGCGGGACGGCCCGCCCCGCGCAGCTACATCCAATCACAATGCCCAGGGCTGGCGATGGAGCCAATCAGGGACAAGCAGAAGGCGGGGATGCCGGCACTCAACTAGCAGAGCTTGAGAGTGACAAGGCCGCGAGGCGGAGGCGAACACCAATTGCAAATCAGATACAGGCGAGTGACTTGTCAAGATGGCCAATTAGAACCTCCGGAGGGAACCTCTCCCAGCCTCTTCTCTGAGGGACGGCTCTACCGACCAATAGCATGGGCGAGAAGGCGTTCCCTTCACTAAAGAGGAGGCGGGTGAGCTAGAACTTTTGAGACGGTGGTAAAGTGACTGAGCGGGCGCCACGGCCCCATGCTCTGCAGGGCTGACCGGGGTAGTTTGTTGAAGCTGGTGGGAAGGTAGATAGCGTCGAGGGTGTAAGAGAGGCCGAGGGGACCGGTGCAAACAGGGTGGTGGTGATGGCGGGGGCCATTTCCGGCCGCGGCGATTAAAGGCCAAGTGTGGGTCTCGCGACCCACCCTGGTTAGGAATTGGAGTGACCTCCCCTGAGGAGTTTAGAAAGGACCTCACGACCTTCGTTTTTACAAGAGAGGAGTCACAGCAAGGGCAAACAGCAAGATCCTAATCTAGAACCAGGGGCCAGTGGCTTCAGGCCTGTAAATCTTAGCTACTCAGAGGACCCAGGTTCGAAGCCAACCTGGGCAGGAAAGTCTGTGAGCCTCTTATCTCCAATTAACCAGCAAAAAGAGCCGGAAGGGAAGTTGTAGTTCAAGTGGTAAAGCGCCAGCCTTCAGTGGAAAAGCTCAGGAACAGTGCTCAAGCCCTGAGTTTGAGCCCTCAGAACCTGCACTGAACATACAACAACAACAAAAAATCCGAATAGCTGACATCAGCCAGAACTTAATCCTCCACACAGGAGTCTTTCCTGCTTTATCTTTTAAACCTCTATTTGCTTTTGGGGGGGTAAAATGGAGAAAAGAGTTCCCATAATGCAAGATACAACAATATTTTCTGTTCACTTGGAGAGCCTAATGTAATGACTTAAGACCCCAGTAGTACCCACTTCCGGTGCTGATGGTTGTCTGGCCACCTGTAACAAGTTTGCTGTCTTCTAAATCGCATATGAGATATCCATATGCCTGAATATTGAATTACCAGTGCCAGGTACTAGTGGCTCTCACTTGTAGCCCTAGCTACTCCAGAGGTGAGATCTGAGGATTCAAGTTCAAAGCCAGCTTGGGCAGAAAAGTCTGTAAGACTTACTTACAGTTAACTAGCAAAAAGCCAGAAGAGTAGCTCAAGTAGTAGAATGCCAGCCTTGAGCAAAAGTGTTAAGGGACAACACCCAGTCCCTGAGTTGAAACTCTTACTACCAGCATGCACACATACACGCACAAAGATTAAAAATCCTTCTTAGGTATTTCTGGACAGTTGCAATAAATAAGGGAGCTAGAGATGAGGTAGACAGTCTATTCATTGACAGCTGGTACAGTCAGTGAATAGACCTGTAATGATGAATGAATCTGTAATCCTGTGCAGTATGGACTGGTTGTCTCACAGGATGGGGTTCCATTGAGTCCCTGGAAAAGCCATTCCTTGATTTATTGCTGCAAATAGATTTGTTCCTTCCTACCTGGTCACACACAACCTTACCTCTTTGTCCTGGTAATTTTCCTGGTAAGCTTCTTAGCTTAGGATGACTCTTTTTAAGTTTTCAGAGCCAATCAATTCCTTTCCTCTACCTTACAGCTTGTTTCTTGTAAATGGAATGATGTTGCTGGTCCCCAGGAATGCAGTGTGCTTTCAAGTGTGTCTTCATGAGAATTGTACCAAATTATTTCTGCTTTTATCTGACAAATACCTTAGTGAGCTAGGAGGGCAGCACAAAGGTCCTTTTTCTCTCCAACATGTCAAAACGGATACCTTTTTCTTCTTTTTTTCCCCCCTGAGTTTATACTCAAGCTACTAATCTTTCCTCAAGTGGGAAAGACCTACTTCTTCAAAATCAAGGCCTCATCTATCAGTAGTTCACAATTTATTTCTCCAGTAATATCCATATCCCATGAGCCATCTAGTGACTAGAAGCTGAGCTAGAATCTAGGATCCAGCTTCTGGGCCAAGTGAAGGAAGATAGGTCACAGTGAACTGAACAGTGAGGTCACAGATGGGTTTGTTTGTCCCAGACTCCATGGGGGAGGGGCTTAGGAGGGAGAAGGGGCCCCCAGAGGTCCCCAAGCCCAGGCAGGGACATGGTGTGGGAAAGGCAGCAGCGGGGACAGGGTCCCGGAGAGATGAGGGCAGGAGAAGGGAGGGGCTGGTCAGGATGGTGAGGAGAAACTGGAGACAGAAGCCGCAAATATTGACTGGGCTGTGCACATGGGAGGAGGGGCGCAGGGTGAGGGGGGTGTACAGGCAAGGGAAGGGTAGGAAGCAGAGGGCATTCAGATAGAAATCTGGGGATGGGCCAGAGGACAGGCAGGCAGACAGGGAGGGAGGGCCCTGGGATCTGGAAGAAGGGAGGACCGGACAGCACGCAGCTGGAGTTAGATAAGTAGCTAGATAAGACGGAGTGCTTGAAAGACTGACAGCTTGAAGAGGGGCCTGATGCACCAAACCCCCATGCTCTCCATTCCCCTCACATAGGTAAAGCGGACCTGCCCTTCTTGTGGCCCAGAGTCTAGGGGTGAAGAAAAGAAGGGGAGAGGGAACCCTATTTCTGTTCAGTTGTTCCCCCCAGAGCTGGTGAGTCTTTCATGGGAAGTATTAAAAATGGGGGGGGCAAGGATGGGAACGTGGCTCAGTGGTACTGGGCTTGCCTAGCATGCATAAAGTCCTGGGTTTGATTCCTCAGTCCCCCATACACAGAAAAAGCCGGAAGTGGCACTGTGGCTCAAGTGGTAGAGTGCTAGCCTTGAGCAAAAGAAGCTCAGGGACAGCGTCCAGGCCCTGAGTTCAAGCCCCAGGACTTAAAAATGGAGGGGCAGGCTGGGTGCCAGTGGCTCACACCTGTAGATCTTAGCTAAGCAACTCAGGAAGCTGAGATCTGAGGATCACAGTTCAAAGCTAGCCCAGGCAAGAAAGTCTGTGAGCCTTTTTTTTTTTTCTTTGGGTCGGTCGTGGGGCTTGATCTCTTGGCTTGGGCACTGTCCTTGCTCAAGGCGAGCATTCTACTGCTTGAGCCACAGCACCACTTCCGGTTTTCTGGTGGTTTATTGGAGATAAGAGTCTCACGGACTTTCTGCCCGGGCTGGCTCTGAACCGAGATCAGCCTCCTGAGTAGCTAGGATTACAGGTGTGAGCCACCGGCACCCGGCTCGTGAGACTCTTATATCCAATTAACCACCAAAAACAAGCCAGAAATGGAGCTATAGCTCAAGTGATTGAGCATTGAGCAAACAAGCTCAGGGACAGTACCTAGGAAAGCCACAAGACCAAAAACAAAAACACAAAAAACCAGAGGGCAGACCACTGGAGAGACTGCCAGTGACTCCCACTTCCCCCCTCCGGCCCCCTCCTACCAGGTGGAGCACATCATTTCATTTCTTCCGGTCAGAGATGTGGTCGCCCTGGGCCAGACATGCCGCTACTTCCATGAAGTCTGCGACGCTGAGGGCGTGTGGAGACGCATCTGCCGCCGGCTCAGCCCACGCCTCCGCGAGCAGAGTTCTGGGGTCCAGCCCTGGAAGAGAGCTGCCATTCTGAACTGTACACCTTCCCCAGCACCTCTTCCTCTCCTTGCCTCTGTCCGTTCCTTATTGGGGGCACTTCCTGCTCTATAGTTAGTGGATTACCTCTGCTCTCTCTGCCAACCTCCCAGATTCAAACATCCTTTCACAATGCTAAGACCTCTGATAGACATGCCACCCAGAGCCCTCGGGTCATCCCTCTACACACCAGCTCCTCCAGATATCACACAGAAGCACCCCTGCTCCCCAACACCTCCAGTGTTCTCTTCTTGAAACCAGTTTCCCATCTTTGACACATAGGAAGAAGGAGCAGTTGCAGGACTGTCCTGTGCCTTGTGGATGGTCAGCAGCTAACAGCTCCTCCTCTAGTTGTGACAACAAAGCTTGAGACCTTTACTCTAAGATCCTTTCCAGCCAGGTGTTGGTGGCTCAGGCCTGTCATCCTAGCTACTCAGCAGGCTGAGATCTGAGGAACTAGGTCCAAAGCCAGCTGGGGTAGGAAAGACTTTGAGACTCTTGTCTCCGATAAACCACTAGAAAACCAGAAGTAGTGCTGTGGCTCAAAGTACTAGAGCACTAGCCTTGAGCAAAAATGCTCCGGGGCAGTGCCCAGACCATGAGTTGAAGCCCCACAACCAACCAAAAATGAAGCTCCTCCTTTCTCCAGAGAGCCCCAACCCCATTACTTCTTTCACAAACAGGGAGATTAGTGGAGAAGATCCATCCACAAAGCAGAGCCACAGCTGGGGGTGAGGGGAAGTTCCTGATCTTTCCTGGTTATTCCTTTCTTCTTTCTGCCTCTCTATTCTTATATTTCCTTGATCTCTCAGATGCAAGGTTGCACTAAAGAAATTCTTAAGAAACCTGTGGCTGGCCCTGGGCTGAGGTGGGGGCAGATCTAAGTTTTCCACAGCTCCCTAGCCCTGGGGATGGGGAGAAAAAAAAAAAAAAGCTGAACCACTAGTGTGTCTGAAAAAAATCTAGCTTGCCCTAAGCCCTGAGTCTTTCCCCTCATGTCCACCTGAATCTTTTGAACCTTCCATCTCCTTCCATTCCCCAGACACAAAAGGCCTGTATTTCCAAGCATTTGGAGGCCGCCGCCGATGTCTCAGCAAGAGCGTCGCACCCCTGCTAGCCCATGGCTACCGCCGCTTCTTGCCTACAAAGGACCATGTGTTCATCCTTGACTACGTAGGGACTCTCTTCTTCCTCAAAAATGCCCTGGTCTCCTCCACCCTTGGCCAGATCCAGTGGAAGCGGGCCTGCCACTATGTTGTGTTGTGTCGAGGAGCCAAAGATGTAAGCAGCGGAGAGCCAACCCCCCCACCTCTCCTCCAGGGCCCAGCCCCCAAGTGCCCTCCCTTAGGAGGGGTGTTAGGATATATGCCCTCCCTTGCCAGGAATCTAAAAATGGGTCCTTGTTTTTCAACCTTGGGACCCAAGTATTCCGTCTCCCACTCCAGGATTCACTTTCTTCCAGCCTCATCTCAACTCTCACTCTCACATCCTTTCTTCACAGTTTGCCTCAGACCCAAGGTGTGACACAGTTTACCGCAAATACCTCTATGTCTTGGCCACTCGGGAGCAGCCTGCCGTGGTAGGCTCAACCAGCAGCCAGGCCTGCGACTGTGTTGAGGTCTACCTGCAGTCCAGTGGGCAGAGGGTCTTCAAGATGACATTCCATCACTCCATGAGCTTCAAACAGATTGTGCTGGTTGGTCAGGAGACCCATCGGGCCCTACTGCTGCTCACAGGTGTGGTCTGGAAGGAGTAGTTTACAAATGTTCCCAGCAGATTCTTGGAGTCAGGCTATGGAGGGGAGGGCCTCTTGGAGTTTTGCATCTAAACAGTCTACCTGGATGCTGTCTAAGCTAGTGCTCTACCACTTGAGCCCACAACTCTACTTCTGGCTTTTTTTGGTGGTTCTTTGGGATCAGAGTCTCATGGACTTCCTTGCCTAGGCTGGCTTCAAACTGTGATCCTCAGCTCTCAACCTCCTGAGTAGCTAGGATTAGAAGCAATAAACCACTAGCATTCACCCAGCTCTGCTTTTATCCATCTCTTTGCCTAGAATTCTGCATTTCATAGGAACGAAGGAATCCTACCAAAAAAAAAAAAAAAAGGAAACCACTGTTGTCATAAATGCCTATTAAAAAAAAAAAATCCTAGACTGTCTCCCCATCCCAGTTTCCCAGTATCCTTTACGTATTGACCAGACCCTCAAGGCTTGAGTGACTCTGGCCGCCACTTTCTTCTTTTTTGTTGTTGGTGGTGGTGGTGATCATGAGCCTGAACTCTGGGCCTGTGCGCTTGTCCCTCAGCTCTTCAGCTCAAGGCTAGCACTCTACCATTTGAGCCACAGCGCCACTTCCAGCTTTTTCTGCTTATGTGCTGCTGAGAAATTGAACCCAGGGCCTCACCCATGCAAGGCAAGCACTCTACCACTGAGCCACCTTCCCAGCCCCATCTCTGGCCTTCTGAATGCCACATTGCATTCTCCCCAACATCCTTATTAGCTTGGTTCCTTCATTTAGTTTGAAGTCCAGAGGACCCTTTTTCTTCTAGCCTTACTCTGGCAGTCAAGGCTTCATCCTGTGTGACCTGGGGAGGGAGAGGCATGAGTGACTTTAATACAGACAATGCTGAGTCCCACCAAAGGGCTGGGAATGTGGCTTCATGGTAGAGTGCTTGCCTGGCATGCATGAAGCCCTGGGTCCGGCTCCTGAGTACCACATAAAAGGAAGTAGTGCTGTGGCTCAAGTAGTAGAGTGCTAGCCTTGAGCAAAAGCAGCTCAGGGACAGTGCCCAGGCCCTGAGTTCAAGCCCCAGGACTGGCAAAAAATAAAATAAAAAGGCTGAGTCCCGGGCTTGGAAGGTGGCTCAGTCCTTGTCTCCTATGCATGAGGCCCTGGGTTCAACTCCTCAGCATCACATAAGCAGAAAAAGCCAGAAGTAGTGCTGTGGCTCAAGTGGTAGAGTGCTAGTCCTGAGCTGAAGAGCTGAAGGACAGCGCCCAGGCCCACAGTTCAGGCCCCACGACCAACCAAAATAAATAAATAAATGCTGAGTCCCCTGGCCCCAACTGCCTGCCTCTTCTCCTCCACAGAGGAAGGAAAGATCTACTCTCTGGTCGTGAATGAGACCCAGCTGGACCAGCCACGTTCCTACACAGTCCAGCTGGCCCTCAGGAAGGTGTCTCGTTGCCTGCCCCACCTGCGGGTAACCTGCATGGCTTCCAACCAGAGCAGCACCCTCTATATCACTGGTAAGACGTGCTTCCCTGCCTCTCACGACCCCATGTCCATGTTCCAGGGGGGCATGGACAGACCCTCCACATGATGGACACCCCTTGCCCTCTTTCTATCCCTGAAGTGTGAAGTCTTTATAGGATCCTAGCCCCTCCCCCTCCCTGGGGTTAGCATTGAGGGGTCTCTCACAGGTGTTGACACACCTTGAATCTTACAGCTTTCATCCCAGGTGGGGTCTTGTGCTTAGGAAAATGGGTGCCCAAAGCTGCTGAGCTGAGGGCTCCTGACCCCCCAGACCAGGGGGGAGTGTATTTTGAGGTGCATACCCCAGGGGTGTATCGTGATCTCTTTGGGACCCTTCAAGCCTTTGATCCGCTGGACCAGCAGATGCCGCTCGCTCTCTCACTGCCTGCTAAGGTAGGGTGCTGGGGCCTGGGCAGACCAGAAGTGGGAAAGACTGCATTGTAAGTGGGAACCGAAGGGTTGCTCAATGGCTAGGAGTAGAGCAGGTGAAAAGAAATCAGCTGGGCTGGGGAGGGAGGGAAGATTAGCAGTTGGTTGTGTCAGAAATTCCAGAATTCCTTGAAAGGAAACCAAGTGCCTCCCTGTCCTCCTGTCCCCCTTCCCAGATCCTATTCTGTGCTCTTGGCTACAATCACGTTGGCCTGGTGGATGAATTTGGCCGAATCTTTATGCAGGGAAATAATAGATATGGACAGCTGGGGACAGGGGACAAGATGGACCGAGGAGAGCCCACACAGGTAAGAAAGGCTCTCTCTCCACTTTTCAGTTTCCCAGTCTCCATGGAGCACTTAGCTCTCTCCAATGTGCCAGGCCTTTCCCAGGGCTGGCACTTAGAAGGCCAGATCTGTGTGTTATACATTGGAATTTACAGGGGCGGTGTGTGTGTGTGTGTGTGTGTGTGTGTGTGTGTGTGTGTGTGTGTGTGTGTGTGTGTGTGTGTGTGTGTGTGTGTGTGTGTGTGTGTGTGTAGGGGGTGTGGCTAGAGTACCTAGAAGAAGAGAGAAGTGAGTAGGCCTGGTGGATTAGACACAGGATTCAGGTGGGGCTAGGTAGGGAAGGGCATCTCTGTCTTGAGGATGGGGTAGGGGGTGAAGCTTGCATGTAGTTGGCTGGCTAGAAGCAGAGAGGGTCTCTGGAGATGGGTGAGATAAGAGGCAGTGTATAAGCCAGGAGCCATAGTGAGAGTGCTCTCCCATGGGTGATGGAGCAGGTCAGCTTGCCCTAGGGCACCAGAGGCTGGTGAAGGCCTAGGGGCTGGTACATGGCAGTGAGAATGGAAAAGAGTGGGTTTAGGACCAATTTGAGGGGAAAATGAACAGGCCCCTCCAAACTAATTGCTGCTTTGATGAAGAAAAAAAGAGTGGGAATTTGGACCTTTTTTCTTTTTTTTCAGTGAAAGTAAAGGGCTGACTGTTCTGGCAACTCAAGATTGAAATGACAAAAGCAAAGATAAAAGGGCAAATGGGGGCAGCAGCCATTATAGTCATCAAGGGGATGATGGGATGGGTATCATGACCCCCCATAGTGTATTTTAGAACTATGGGGAGGTGGTAGCTAGTGGTGAGTGTGAAATGGAGAAAAGAGTCATACCAGGTTTTGTCTTGTTTGGTTGTGTGTGTGTGTGTCTGTGTGTGAGTTGTGTGTGCTGGTACTGGGACTTGAACTCAGGACATAAGCGCTGTCTCTTAGCTTTTTCCCTCAAGGACAGAGCTCTACCACTTGAGCTACAGCTCCACTTCTCTTACCTGTGTCTTTGGAATTGGAGTGCCAATGCACTCAAGAGAATGATCATACAGGAAAAGCCCTGGAAGTTAGCAGCCAGGTGCCTTTGGAAAGAATATGTCACTGGTGTGCTGGGCAAAAAGCCATATCACAGAGAGCTTCAGGAAGGACTGGCTATTGTAAGGCCAGTAAGAGTGCAGTAAGAGCCAGGTGCCAGGTGTTGGTGGTTCAGCCTGTAATCCTAGCTACTCAGGAGGCTGAGATCTGAGATCTCAGTTTGAAGCCAGCCCAGGCAGGAAAGTCTTGCTGTGAGATTCTTATTTCTAATTCATCACCTAAAAGCCAGAAGTGGAGCTTTGGCTCAATCAGTACAACACTACCTTGAGCAAAAAAGCTCAGGGACAGTGCCCAGGCCCTAAGTTCAAGCCCCAGGACCAGTACAAAAAAAAAAAAAGATACAATCAGACTCTGACATAACCATAACTGCTTCAAACTAAGGGAAACAGCCTAATCCTTGAGTTCAGCAAGCCTCAGTACCTGCACGAATACCTGGGCACCGTGGCTCATGCCTGTAATCCTAGCTCCTTAGGAAGTTGAGAGCTGAGGATCGAGGTTCGAAGCTAGCCCAGGCAGGAAAGTCTATGAGACTCTTCAATTAACCACCAAAAAAGCCAGAAATGGTGCTGTGGCTCAAGTGGTAGAGCACTAGCCTTGAGCAAAAGAGCTCACAGACAATGCCCAGCACTGAGTTCAAGCCCCAGGATCAACACATAAATTAATACATATATACATACATAAATAAAAATGGATTGAGCAAGTCTGCAGCAGCAGGCGGCCCATTGCTTCCTTCCTTACGTTACCTTCTGCCCTGAGCCTCCTGTCAACCTTCTCTGGCTGGGGGTTCCCCATGCTCCCCTCTCAAGGCCCCTTCCATTGTGTGCAGGTGCACTATCTGCAGCGCCCCATTGCCCTGTGGTGTGGCCTCAACCATTCCCTGGTGCTGAGCCAGGGCTTGGACTTCAGCAAGGAGCTGCTGGGCTGTGGCTGCGGGGCAGGAGGCCGCCTCCCTGGTTGGCCGAAGGGGAGTGCCTCCTTCGTCAAGCTCCATGTCAAGGTCAGAGCAGAGTCATGGCAAGGGGGCACGCAGAGGGAGGGAAAAATTGCTGGCTCTGAGGACTGTCGCTGGCATTCTTTCCCTTTCTATTTCTCTCTCTCTCTCTCTTTTTTTTGGGGGGGGGGGTCGGTCATGGGGCTTGAACTCGGGGCCTTGGTGCTGTCCCTGTGCTCTTCAGCTCAAGGCAAGCACTCTACCACTTGAGCCACAGCACCACTTCCGGTTTTCTAGTGGCTTATTGGAAATAAGAGTCTCACAGACTTTCCTGCCCTGGCTAGCTTTGAACCGTGATCCTCAGATCTCAACCTCCTGAGTAGCTAGGATGACAGGTGTGAGCCACCGGCTTCTGTCTCTTCTATCTCACATCGTAGACCAGGCTGGCCTCAAAACTCAATCCTCCACATGGCTCACCACACTGAGACTCCTGCAAGGGGCCCGCCCAGTGCTTCCATTTTTCCAGCACCACACCTCTTTCTCTTTCCTGACATACACACAGCTGCCCTTGGTTCTCCCTCAGAACCCCGCTGTCCTTGTTTGGCCTTACACTGACCTGGCACCTAGTCAGGTGTAGCTTACTTGCTGGGTCAAGGCTGACCTGAGAGGAACCAACATAACAGCTGGATTATGCTGAGCACTGGTGGCTCATACCTGTAATCTTAGCCACTCAGGAGGCTGAGATCTGAGGATTCTTCAAAGCCAGCCTGGGCAGAAAAGTCCATCTCCAATGACCCACCAAAAAGCCGAAAGTGGAGCTGGATCGCCAGTCTTGAACAAAAAACAAAACAACAGGGGCTGGGAAGGTGGCTCAGTGGTAGAGTGCTTGCCTTGCATGCATGAGGCCATGGGTTCGATTCCTCAGCACCACATAAGCAAAAAGAAAAAAGCCAGAAATGGCCCTGTGGCTCAAGTGGTAGAGCGCTAGCCTTGAGCTGAAGAGCTGAGGGACAGCGCCCAGGCCCAGAGTTTGGGGCCCACGACCGGACCCCCCCGCAAAAAAAAACAACACAAAACTTAAGGGATCAAAAATCAAAAAAGGCAGCTGGATTCGCTTCTTGGGACCCTTGCAGCATGATTCCCCCCCTCAACCAGGCCTCTTCCTTCTCTCTTCCCAGGTCCCTCTGTGCGCCTGTTCGCTCTGCTCTACCCGAGAGTGCCTCTACATGCTGGCCAGCCATGACATTGAGCACGGCCCTGCCTACCGGGACCTACCACCTAGCAAGGCAGTGGGGAGCCCTGAGCCCAGCTTGGGGGCTGGAGCTCCACAGGACCCCGGGGGGACAGCCCGGGCCTGTGAGGAGTACCTCAGCCAGATCCACAGTTGCCCTACATTGCAGGACCGCATGGAGAAGATGAAGGAGATCGTGGGCTGGATGCCCTTGATGGCGGCACAGAAGGATTTCTTCTGGGAGGCCCTGGACATGCTGCAGAGGGCTGCTGGTGATGTGGCGTCAGACCCCTCAACCCCCGAGAGCTGACCCCCTCCCTCAGCCTCAGTCCTGGAGGAGAGATGGGGCGGTAGCATGGACACTGTGGGTGCCTGTGGGGAAGGGGCCATGGGGGTGGGAGGGGTTGGAGATGGGGACTCTTTTGTAAAAGGTTCAAGGGCTGCCCAGCCTGACTATCATGGACAAGAGTTTTGATGGACAAATAGAATAAAAGGCTGAAGTGAGGCCTGCTTCGGAGCCCTGGGGCCTGGAAGGATGGGTGTAGGAGATGGGGGTAGGATGCCTGGCCCAGTGGACGAGGGAGGACAGGAACACTCAGGTTCTTGGTTGCTGAGAGCTAAGCTCTCCAACTTACTTCTCCATACCAACTCTTACCTGTTTTGTTTTGTTTCGTTTGGCCCATTGTGGGGCTTGAACTCTGGCTGTGTACTGTCCGAGCTTTTTTGCTCAAGGCTAGTGGTCTACCACTCAAGCCACAGCTCCACTTCTGGCTTTTTGGTGGTTCATTGGAGATGAGTCTCACAGACTTTCTTGCCCAGTCTGGCTTTGAACCTTGATCCTCAGATCTCAGATCTCCTGAGTAGCTATGATGACAGGTTGTGAGCCAGCCTTTTTGACTTAGGAGTCCTGGCCCCTCCTTCTGGAACAATCCCTCACATGTACTACCTGACTCCCCAGTTTGAGTCCTCTGAACACCCAGTCTCATCCTGATAGGCCATAATCTCCTTACTCTAGAAAGTTCCATGCTGCATTGCCCTCATTCCAGTGAAGGAAACTTTCTTCCTTTGCCGGCCAGGCCTGGTCTCCTCTGACCATCCTATACTTTTTTTTTAAAGTATTTTTATTGTTATAAAGGTTATATACAGAGGGGTTACAGTTATAAGTCAGGTAAAGTACATTTTTTTGTTTGAACAATGTCTCCCTGTCCCTTGCTCTCTCAGTTTTTCCTTCCCCTGTCCCCACCTACAAGATGTATAGTTCATTTTCAACAGTGTCTAGTACCACTGCTGCGTTGGTTCACCCTTTGTCCCTCCATTTCTGTGTGTTCCCTTACCACTCCCAAAACAGATAAGACAAAAAGAAAATAAAAACAGCAACAAAGAAAAAACTTTTGTTTCCATTTCCTGGAGTTCATTTCTTTTTGATCTGTCATGGGGCTTAAACTTGGGGCCTGGATGCTGTCCCATTTGGAGCCACAGCACTACTTCTAGTTTTCTGGTGGTTAATTCCTTCCCGGGCTGGCTTTAAACTGAGATCCTTAGATCTCAGCCTCCTGAGTAACTAGGATTATTATTATTATTATTTATTATCATTATTATTATTTTGCCAGTCCTGGGGCTTGAACTCAGAGCCTAGGCATAGCCTAGACCCTGGGCTTCTTTTGCTCAAGGATAGCACTCTACCACTTGAGCCAAAGCACCACTTCTGGCTTTTTCTGTGTATGTGGTACTATGGAATTGACCCAGGGCTTCATGCATGCTAGGCAAGCACTCTACCACTAAGCTACATTCCCAGCCCAATAAACACTATATGATCAGATGCACGTAGACATTGCGCCTTTGTGTTTCTCCCCTAAGAATGTCCTCCTGTGGGTTCATTGTGTGTGGATGCCTAGAGTCCTGTATAATTTCTCATGTCCTGGGTGTTTTTTTAAGTTTATTATTTTAGATATACAGCAGAGTTACATTTACATACATCAGGTAATAAGTACATTTCTTTTCATACAGTGTCATCTGTTCCCTCATTCTCAAACCCTCCCATCTCCACCCACAAGTTGCATAGTTCACTTTCATCAATGTCCAGTCTGGGCATTTTAGATCTAACTTCCAAATATGAGAGAACACATTGGATGCTAATTTTTTTCTTTTTTGCCAGTCCTGGGGCTTGAACTCAGGTCCTGGGCACTGTCCTGGAGCTGCCTTTTTTTTTTTTTTTTGTCAAGGCTAGCACTCTACCACATTGAGCCACAGGGCCACTTGTAGTTTTTTCTATTTATGTGGTACTAAGGAATTGAACCCAAGGCTTCATGCATGCTAGGCAAGCACTACCACTAAGCCACATTCACGGCCTGGGGTGCTAGTTTTTTCTAAGATAGAGTCTTGATTCCCACCTGGACACATGCTTAGAATGACATCTGCTGGGATGTCAGGTATATACCACCATACCCAGCTTCTTCCCTTGAGATGGAGTCTCACATGCTTCTGCCCCAGCTAGCCTGGAACCACAATCCTCCCTATCTCAGCCTCCCAAGGGTGATAGGCATGAATCACCAACAGCCAGTTGTCTTCAAATAATTGGAAGAGAAAATAGGCAAGCAGAGTTCTTCCTCCCTGCTCTAGCCTAGGGATAGAGGAAAGGCAGTAGAAATGTGCAGTGGGCACAGACATGGTGATCTGGTGATATACCTGCAACACACACTCAGGAGCCAGAGGCAGGAGGATCAAGTCTCAGATCAGTCCGGACAACACAGCAAGAATCTGTCTCATGAAAACAAAAACACAAAAACTTAAGCCCTGCACAGTGTACCTGTGCACCTAACTACAAATGGAGGTGCAAATCAGGATCGCAGCCCAGGCAAAAGGTTCTTGAAGGCTGGCAGCTCATGTTGTAATCCTACTCATGACATCCTAAGGATCAGAGCTAGCAGACAAATCTTAGAGACTCTCATCTCCAATTAACCAGCAATAAACTGGAAGTAGAGGTATGCCTCAAGTGATAAAAGGAGCAGCCTTGAGCAAAAAAACCAACTGAGAGCTCAAGGCAGAGTTCCAACCCGGTACTGGCACAAAAAGAAGGAAAAGTTTCAAGACTTTTTTTTGTTGTTGTTGTTGGTTGCGGGGCTTGAAGTCTGGGCCTGGGCGCTGTCTCTCAGCTCAAGGCTAGTGCTCTACCATTTGAGCCACAACGCCACTTCTGGTTTTCTGAGTGGTTTAATTGGAGATAAGAGTCTGATGGACTTTTCTTGTCCAGGCTGGCTTTGAACTGTGATCCTCAGATCTCAACCTCCTGAGTAGCTAGGATGACAGGTGTGAGCCACTGGCACCCGGTTTCAAGACTTTTAAACACAAAATGCTGAGTTTGCGATCGCACCCCTGTCATCCCAGCTGAAATAAAAATAGGTGAATCACAGTCCAAAATGCTGGCACCTAGAAAAACAATTAGACCCTATTCAAAAAATAAACACCAAAGCAGTGACTCACACCTGTAATCCTAGCTACTCAGGAAGCTGAGATCTGAGGATTGCACTTCGAAGCCACCCTGGGTAGGAAAGTCCATGAGACCCTTATCTTCAATTAGCCACCAGAAAACTGGAAGTAGAGCTATGGCTCAAAGTGGTAGAGTGCTAGCCTTAAGCAAAAAAGATTAGGGACAGCAGCCCAGGCCCTGAGTTCAAGCCCCACAGCTGACAAAGAAAGAGGAAGAAAGAAAAAGAAAGAAAGAAAGAGAGAGAGAAAGGAAGGAAGGAAGGAAAGAAGGAAAGAAAGAGAGAGAGAAGAAAGAAAGAGGCAACAGTGGCTCACTCCTATAATCCTAGCTACTCTAAAGAGACTGAGAGATCTGGGAATGGAGATCCAAAGCCAGCGTAGGCAGGAAATAACCAGTGATTATTTAGAGATAAATGGTCAAGAGCCAGCCATGAGTGCAAAAGTGGAATGAGAGCATGAGTCCAAGCCCCAATACCACCGAAAAAGAAAGAGATTTAAAAAAAAAAAAAAAAAAAAGCAGTGTAACTCAGTGGTAAAATGTTTTCCTAGCACACATGAGGCTTTGGGTTTCACCCTCAACACTGCAAAACAAAATGAAATGAAAAGAGAAGAAAAAGAATAACAGAAGAAAAAACAGAAAAATGTAGTGGAAAATGAATTGGGGCAGAGTGGTGGAGGCTAGTGAATGACTGGGGTGGGAGTCTGGGAAGTCCGTCCCTGGGGTGCTGAGGAAGCAGGGAGGAAAAGGGTAGATCTGCTCACAAGGGGTTCCGGCCAGGATCAGGCCCCTTGTTCCACCCCCTCCTTGGGTCAATATTTATGTGTCCTGGACCTAGACAGGCTCCCTGGCTTGCTACTGTCCCAGATGTCTCCCTGTCCCGCCTTCCCGCCCCCCCTCCCCTGCTGGCCGGTCCCCACGCCCACACACCCCGGCTGCTTGGTCTGGCACTGGTTATCCTGCCACTGCTGCTGCTGCCGCCGCCGCCGCTGCTGCTGAATTCAGCTGCTGCTTCCGGCAGGCCAAGACCCCAGAACCCCCCACCATGCTGCCCACCCTCCCAGCCCCCCTCCTGGGGCCCTTCCTCATGGCCTGGGTGCTGCCTCTTGCCCAGGGCCAAACCCCCAACTATACCAGGTAGGTCTTGGGCATTTTCTAGATGGCTCAAGTGAGCTTCAAACCCCGTGAACTCCTGGTGTGGAAAGGGGGAGGGGAGGGCCATGCTTCTAGATGTTCAGGGGGATTCTGCTAGATTCCCCTCCTCCCCCCGCCAAATTTCCTCTCTCTCTTTCTCAGGCTCCCAAGTCCTCCCCATTCTGCTGGAAGACTGAGCAGGACTCTTGCAGGGCGCCCCCTCCCCCCCTCATCCTCTGCCTGTACCCCTCTCCCTCCACTGAGAACCATGGTCCTCCACGGATCCTGAAGGGAGAAACAGTCAAGACCTTGAACTAGCCTAGCAGCTGATATCTGGGTTCCAAGCAGAGACTTGGGGGGGATGTCAGAAAGCTGGAACTAGGAGCCAGGGAGCCCCATCTCTAGGTCCAATTGCAGGCCGCCTCGTGGCTTCTCCACATCTGGAAGCAGTTAGCCTCCTTAGGCGGCTCCCGGCCCTGGCCTGAGGACAGGCAGGGTAAAGCCGAGGATTCTCAGAATTCCTGTCTGGTAGGGGGTGGGGTCCGTGGGGAGCGAGGGGTGCTGTGGTTGCAGGTCCCACTCCTTTTTGTGGATTTTTTTAATCCCCCACATGAATCCCTCCCACCCTAATGCCAGTCTTGTTGGCTGATGCTTTCTTGGGGTCCCTATGGGCCTTCCTCCCTCATCACCCCATCCCCAGTTCCTGACGAACCTCTTTTATGTCCTCCAGACCTGTGTTCCTGTGCGGAGGGGATGTGACTGGGGAGTCTGGTTACGTGGCAAGTGAGGGCTTCCCCAACCTCTACCCCCCAAATAAGGAGTGCATCTGGACCATAACGGTGAGAAGGCCCCTGGCCACCGACACAAGTCAGTCTCCTAGGCCAAGGCCTGGCTGCTAAGGGGCACCATCTTCTCAATCTAGGGAAGGCCAAGCTGCCGCTGCTCTGTTCACTGGGCACTAATGCCCCCACAATAAATGGGCCGCCTGTACCTTAATCTCTCAATCTGTGTGTGTGTCTCTTTCTCTGTCTCTGTTTCTCTCTCCCTGCCCCCACCTCTCATTTGGAGCTTAAACTCAGGGCCTGGGTGCTATCCCTGAGCTTTTTTGCTTAAGGCTAGTACTCTACCACTTTGAGCCACAGTGCCACTTCCAGTTTTCTGGTGGTTCACTGGAAATCAGTCTCACAGACTTTCCTGCCCAGGCTGGCTTTGAACCGTGAGCCTCAGGTCTCAGCTTCCTGAGTAGCTAAGATGACAGGTATGAACCACCCACCCGTGCCTGGCTCCCTGAGCTTTTTTTTTTTTAAACTGAAGACTGCTGCTCTACCACTTAAGGTACAGCTCCACTTCTGGTTTTTGTTTTATGTTTTTTGTGGAAGAGTCTCCTGGACTTTCCTGCCCAGGCTGGCTTCCAGGTGCAATCCTCAGACCTCAGCCTCCTGAATAACTAGAATTTCAGATATGGGCCACTGGTGCAAGGCTCTCTGTCTTTGTTGAACTGTCTCAGTGTATAACTCATACTCGCCTTGATGATCCTCTCCTCCTGCTGGCATGACAAGCCATTATAACAATGTTAGGATCACAGGCACCAGTGCTGGGATTATAGGCAAGCACCACCACACCCAGCCTAGTCTTTCTTTCTTCTTTCCTTTCTTTCTTTCTTTCTTTTTTTGGTCGGTCATGGGGCTTGAACTCTGGGCGTGGGGCACTATCCCTCAGCTCTTCAGCTCAAGGCGAGCGCTCTACCGCTTGAGCCACAGCGCCACTTCTGGTTTTCTAGTGGTCTATTGGAGACAAGAGTCTCACGGACTTTCCTTGCCTGGGCTGGCTTTGAACTGTGATCCTAGATCTCAGCCTCCCGAGTAGCTTTCTTTCTTTCTTTCTCTCTCTCTTTCTTTTTCTTTCCTTCACACCCCCCCCCCCCCCCCCCCCCCCCGTGATCCTGGAGCTTGAACTCAGGGGCTTGGCACTGTCCCTAAACTTTTTTTTGCTTAAGGCTGGCTTTTTACCACTTGAGCCACAGCTAAATTTCCACGTTTGTGGTGTGTGTGTGTGTGTGTGTGTGTGTGTGTGTGTGTGTGTTTGTGTAGTAAATTTGAGATAAGAATCTCATGGACTTTCCTGCCCAGGCTAGCTTTGAACCACGATTCTCAGATTTTAGCCTACTGGTTAGCTAGGATTACAGACTTGAGCCACCAGTACCAGGCCAGGCCTTATTTCTTAACCTAAACTCAAATCCCAATTCTCCAATCTCAGCTTCCTTCCTGTCCTCTTTATCTCTCTGGAGTCCAGTTGCACAAAGCCCAGGCCCTGGGGGCTACACGAGCCTGGGGGTTCCTTCCAGTGGTGAAGACTTGGGGCAGGGGAGCCACCCTCTGTCAGGGTGGGGTGTGGCCTCACTTCCTGGGTGTCTGGGCCCCATCTCTCAGGTTCCTGATGGCCAGACTGTGTCCCTCTCCTTCCGAGTCTTCGACCTGGAGCTGCATCCGTCCTGCCGCTACGATGCTCTGGAGGTCTTTGCTGGCTCTGGAACCTCGGGCCAGCGGCTTGGTCGCTTTTGTGGGACCTTCAGGCCTGCCCCTGTTGTGGCCCCCAGCAACCAAGTAACCTTGAAGATGACCGCGGACGAAGGCACGGGAGGACGCGGGTTCCTGCTCTGGTATAGCGGGAGGCCCACCTCTGGCACTGGTGAGCGCCCCTGGCCTGCACCTGTCCCTCTCCTGACCCCGCCCTGCACCAGGTCCCCCCACCCTAACCTCGACCCCCAGATGCCCCCCCCCCAGCCCCACAAGAGCTCAGGGCCACCACTACTCCCTAGCCCTTTCTCCTCCCTCACCGCCCCTCCAGTCCCTCTTCCCCATCTTCTCTCCCCCTCCTGCTCCCGTCCCCCCTCTTCCAGGGCCCCCCCCAGGCGCAAGGCGGAAGTGGGTCATGGACCCGCGGGTGGAATGGGCGGCCTGGGGTTACTGGGACGGTGAGTAACTGCCCGCCCCCCTCCGCAATCGGGCTCCCGCTGACGGGGCACACGGTGTCGGGGCGCACCCCAGGACTGGAGGGCTATGTTTCCCCCACCTGGAGTCCCCCACATCCAAGCCCTAGGCTCTCGATTGCGGTCCCATCACCCCCTCCCGGCAGAAAAAGTCACTCTGAGAATGTTTCAAGCAGCCCCCCTCCCCAAGGGGCCGAGCGAGGACGCCCCTCGCCGTGTGCAGGGCTTCCATAGCCCGCACGGACTTTCCTGCCAGGCCGGGGAGATGGGATCTGCCAGGGGAAGGGGTGCGGTGTGGCTGCGGGCCGGGGAGGGGCAAGAAGGGAGTGGTCCAGCCAGATCCTCCACCCCAAGCCTCGCTCCTCCTCCTGCTAGCCTCCCCTCTTCTACGTCCCCCCCACCCCACATCCCGAGGCCTGGCATCCCCTCCCGCTGCCAGCCCAGCCCCCGGCCTACAGTCTTCCTGGGGCTGACCGGGGTCTCCACGACCCCCACCCCGCCTCTCTCTCCCCTTCCCAGAGCACCAGTTTTGTGGGGGGCGGCTGGAGAAGGCACAGGGAACCCTGACCACGCCCAACTGGCCCGAGTCCGATTACCCTCCCGGCATCAGCTGTTCCTGGCACATCATCGCGCCCCCAAACCAGGTACGACACCCTCTCCCCCCCCCCCCGGCGGCTGCACCTCCTGTACACACCCCTTGAAGGCGCACTGGCCGAGCTCTGGGTCCTGGGTCCCGAGCTTACAAAACCTGTGGGACCAAAACCAAACCTGGATCCCGTCTACACCCAACCCCAAATTCTAAATGTAAAATTGTGGTGGAGTCGAGTGCGGTGGCTCACCCCTGTAATCCTGGCTGCTGAGATCTGAGGAGGGCCTGGGCAGAAAAGTCCAAGAGGTTCTTGTCTCCAATTAACCACCACCATCACCACAAAAAGCAACCAAAAGTGGAGCTGTGGCTCAAGTGGTAGAGCACCAGCCGGGAGTGAAAAAACTCGAATTGCATCTAGGCCCTGAGTTCAAGCCCCAGGGCTGGCACCAAAAACGAAAACAAATGAACAAAACCCCACTGAGATCAACTTTAAGGGAAGACAGACCTGACCCCCGGTGACCTGGGCACACACCCAGCGGGGTCCCCCGGAATGAATGCGGGAGGTGGTGGCTGTAGGGGTGCAGGGCCCCGGGCCTGGGGTCCCTGCTCAGCCTACGTCTGGTGGCCGACAGGTGATTGCTCTGACCTTCGGGAAGTTCGACGTGGAGCCGGACACCTACTGTCGCTACGACTCGGTCAGCGTGTTCAACGGAGCCGTGAGCGACGACTCCAAGAGGCTGGGAAAGTTCTGCGGGGACACGGCCCCTGGGTGAGGGGCGGGGCCTGGCCGGCGTGGGCGGGGCTTGCGTCAAAGGGCGTGGCTCTGCGTCTGCCTCTGGGCGGGACCTGAGCTAGAAAAGGCGCTTGAGTTAGAGCGCTGGCCTCGGACTAACCGCGTGGCCTAAATTAAAGGGCGTGGCCTTGGCTGCATGGGTAGGGGTGTGGCCTAAAACGGAGGGCGGGGCTCTTCAGATTGGGCGGGATCTGAGCACTAGGACTCCACAGCAGTAGGCCTGGCACCTAGTCTGGGGTCGGTGAAGTAAGAAGCTTGTGGAGGTCAGGCCTGTAGCCTGTAATCCTAGCTGCTCAGGAAGTTTAGACCTGAGGATCATGGTGGGGTACGGGGGAGGGAGCAGAAAATCTGACTCAAATAACTAGCAAAAAGCCAGAAATGTAGGTGTGGTTTAAATAGTAGAGTGCCAGCCTTGGGCAAAAAAATAAAACAAGCTAAGTGAAAATGCCAGGCCCTGAGTTCAAGCCCAGTCTGGACACAAAAAGAATCACATGGGGATCTATGATATTATGAAGCTAGTGCAAGCCACCAAAGGCTGGAAAGGTAAAGAGGGGCCTTGATACCTCCCCCAACCACTGCCACCCTCAGTCCCATCTCCTCGGAAGGGAATGAACTCCTGGTCCAGTTCGTTTCGGATCTCAGTGTCACGGCCGATGGCTTTTCTGCCTCCTACAAGATGCTTCCAGGGGGCACTGCTGAAAAAGAGCCAGCCCCTAGCTCAAGAGAGGACGTCCCCAAAGTCAAGCTGCCCACCAAGCCGAAGATCCAACCCACCAAGAAGCCAGTGGCCTCCCCTGACACACAGGAGACTCCAGTGCGCCCAGGTAAGTCTGGGAAGGAAGAAGAAAGATTGTTTCAAGAAAATTTTCCATGAGCTGGTAACTGTAATTCTACTTTAGGAGGCTGAGATCTAAGGATCACAGTTCAAAGCCAGCCCAGGCAGGAATGTCTGTGAGATTCTTATCTCCAATAAATCACCAAAAAGTTGGAAGTGGAGCTGTAGATCAAGCTCGGACAATGCTCAGGCTCTGAGTTCAAACCCCAGGACTGGTACACACACACACAAATCTCATTGATTCAGCACTCACTGGTGCCTTCATCCTGCCAGCCTCTAGATAGAGCTGGGTGCAGAGCTGTCTACTAGCATGCATAAGGCCCTAGCATCTATCCCTAACAGCACAAAAGGGGGAAAATGGTTCTTCCTCCTTGATGGGTTGTTATGGTCCATGAACAGCTCAGCTCCCCTCTTATCTAGATGCACCAACAGCCCCTTGCCCAGTTCCATGCCGCCGGACAGGCACCTTGCAGAGCAACTTCTGTGCCAGTAATCTGGGTAAGCAGCCCTTTTACGCACTTTTAACCCTCCCCCTAACTCAAGAGAGAGGAGTCCAGCCCTGGCCTCCTGTCTCTTCCCCTCTCATTCCATCCTCCCACAGTGGTGACCGGAACAGTGAAGTCTATAGTGCGGGGTCCAGGTGAAGGCCTTACCGTCACTGTCAATCTCATGGGTGCTTACAAAACTGGAGGATTGGATCTTCCCTCTCCACCCACGGACACGCCCTTGAAGTTTTATGTACCCTGCCGGCAGTGCCACCCCATGAAGAAAGGTAATAAAGATAGAATATGGGGAGACAAGGTGCTAAGTCACACCAAAATGAGAAGAGGTGTAGAATCGGCCAGGCCCTGGTGACTCAAGCCTATAATCCTAGCTACTCAGGAGGCTGAGATCTGAGGATCGAGGTTCGAAGCCAGCCCAGGCAGGAAAGTCTGTGATACTCTTATCTCCAGTAAACTACTTAGAAGCTGGAAATGGTGCTGTGACTCAAGTGATAGAGCACTAGCCTTGAGCACAAAGAGGCTCAGGGGCAGCACCTAGAACCCCTGGGTTCAAGCTCCAAGATGAGAAAAAAAAAGTTGAAGTGAAGATGTGGCTCAAGTGATAGAGTGCCAGCCTAAAAGGAACAGTGCCTAAGTTCAAGCTCTAGTACTAGCAAAAGGCACAATGATGTGAGCCCTCAATCTTACCCTACCTCTGTTGTCTCCCCAGGATCCAGTTATCTGCTGATGGGTCAGATGGATGAAAGCAGAGGTCCCATCCTTCCTCCAGAAAGTTTTGTGGTACTCTACCGGGCCAACCAGGACCAGATCCTCAAAAACCTAAGCAAGAGGAAGTGCCCCTCCCAAGCTTGAGATCCAGGCCAGCTCCAGCCCCAGGCCATAGACCCCCTGTCTTACCCAAATAAATATATCTTAACTGAGGAAGAGGACAGATCTCCATTTCTTTTTTTTTTTTTTTTTTGGGTCCGGTCGTGGGGCCTGAACTCTGGGCCTGGGCGCTGTCCCTCAGCTCTTCAGCTCAAGGCTAGCGCTCTACCACTTGAGCCACAGCGCCACTTCTGGCTTTTTTCTTTTTTCTTATATGGTGCTGAGGAATCGAACCCAGGGCCTCAGGCATGCAAGGCAAGCGCTCTACCACTGAGCCACCTTCCCAGCCCCCAGATCTCCATTTCTATGGTTTAGTGGCCCATCCTCGAAATATTAGGAGTTCATGAGTTTCTTCCACAGATGTTTACTATTCAGAATAATTTTTTGAAACTGTTATGTCAGGGTCTTTTGTGTATGTGTGTGGGTGCGTGCGTGCACATGCACATTTGTTAGGACTGGGGCTTTAACTCAAGGCCTCCCACTTTAGCTTGGCTTTTCCCACTCAAAATGCTTTACCATTTGAGCCACACCTCTGCTTTCTGTATGTCATAGCACCCCCCCCCCCTTTTGCTCAAAATTCCTACCATAGTTTTTATAATAAAATCCAGAGTATTATGCATGGGTACTTTTTGGTGATCTTTTCTAATCTCTGCCTCCCAAGTAGCTGGGATTACAGATGTGCGCCACCACATCCAGCCTTATAGTGGAATTAAGACTGTATTTTGTGTCTTCTCACTCACTTCCTCCTCATGGCTCACTCTTCTTGCCTGTTTTCCTTCTTACTTTTTTTATTTGCTCAAGGCTACCACTTTACAACTTGAGCCACAGCTCCACTTCTGGCTTTTTGCTAGTTCGCTAGAGACAAAGGTATCATGGCCTTTCCTGCCCTAGCTGGCTTTGAACCGTGATTCTCAGATCTCATCCTCCTGAGTAGCTAGGACTGCAACTGGGAACCACTAGCACCTGGCTTAATATTTTATTTCAAAGGTACTGGGACTTGAATTCAGGGCCTTTCACTTTTGCTCAGCTTTTGTATTCACAGATGGGGCTCTACCAGTTGAACAACACTTCCACTTTGGGAATCAAGACTCACCAAACCCTGCCACGGGATCTTCACCCGTGTTAAAGATAAGGGAAACACTTCTACACAGTGAAGACAATCTTACCCTAAGTCACACAATTAACTTAGCAAAAGTCAAACGGTTTTGATAGAAAAAACTTCCATGAGCACAGAATTAATTGGAGATATGAGACTTATGGATTTTTCTGTTCACGTTGGCTTTGAACAGAGTCTCAGATATCAGCCTTCTGACTCACTAGAATTATAGGGGCGAGTGCCTGGCTCCATCCTCTGATTTTTTTTGGGATCTTCCATCTTCATTCTTCTGAGTTCTGGGATTACAGACCCTCATTTATCCATTCAAAATACCAGGCACTGTTTTAAGGGCTGAAGATACTAGAGAAAACAAAGTTCCTGGTCTTCTGGACAGGAACAAATATACTTCTGGAGGAGAGAGGGGGACATTTTTTAAGACTTCTTTTTTTTTTGGTCCGGTCGTGGGGCCTGAACTCTGGGCCTGTCCCTCAACTCTTCGGCTCAAGGCTAGCACTCTACCACTTGAGCCACAGCGCCACTCCCGGCTTTTTTCTTTTTGCTTATGTGGTGCTGAGGAATCAAACCCAGGGCCTCAAGCATGCAAGGCAAGCGCTCTACCACTGAGCCACCTTTCCAGCCCCATAGGGGATCATTTTTTTTGGCAGTATATAGTTGAACTCAGGGCCTCAAGCTTGCTAGGCTGGCACTCTGCCACTTGAGTCACACCTCCAGTCCTACTTTTTTGGGGGGCTGGTTATATTGGAGATGAAGTCTATGAAACATTTCTGTCCATGCTGGCTTTAAACCGTGATCCTCTAGATCCAAGCCTCTTTAGCTAAGATTACAGATGTGAGCCACTAGTACTTGGCACAAGGGCCTGGGCATGGTCCCTGAGCATTTTTGCTCAAGGCTAGTTCTCTATCATTTTTAGCCACAGCTCTACTTTCAGTTTTCTGGTGGTTAAGTGGAGATAAGAATCTCAGGGGTTGGGCACTGGTGGCTCCGGCCTTATAATCCTAGTTACCCTGGAGGCTGAAATCTCAAGATCACCATATAATCCTAGTTACCCTGGAGGCTGAAATCTCAAGATCACCATTACCGGGGCTGGGAAGGTGTCTCAGTGGTAGAGCGCTTGCCTTGCATGCATGAGGCCCTGGGTTTGATTCCTCAGCACCACATAAGCAAAAAGAAAAAAGCCGGAAGTGGCGCTGTGGCTCAAGTGGTAGAGCGCTAGCTTTGAGCTGAAGAGCTGAGGGACAGCGCCCAGGCCCAGAGTTCAGGCCCCACAACTGGACCCAAAAAAAAAAAGATCACCATTACCCACCAGCGGGGCAGGAAAGTCTCTTTGAGACTCTTATCTCCAAATAACCACTCAGAAACCGGAAGTGGTATTGTGGCTCAAAGCGGTAGAGTGCTAGCCTTGAGCAATAAGCGCCCAGGGACAGAGCCTAGGCCCTGAGTTCAAGCCTCAGGACTAGCAAAAACACAAATAGAAACAAACAACAACAACAAAACCCTAAAGCAAAAGGGCTGGGATATAGTTGAAGTGGTAGAGGTGCTCTAGGGCTTGTGTTCAGACCCAAGTACCAAACGAACAACAACAACAAAAAGTGGACAAGGGTTTTTTGGTTTGTCTTTTGTATTATCTTTACTCAGGGAAGGTTTTCCCGTCAGATCCATTTGACTTTGGCCTCATCTGTAACACGGTGAAGACCAGGTGGCAGGGTTTGACGAGTCTTCATTCGCCTTCTTGATCCCGGGCCCTGGCGGGAAGGAAAGAACCAGGCGCGGGCCCTGAGAAGATGGAGGAATTCGGCGATCTCCCGAGACCCATAGAACAAAACAAAGCCAAGCCCGCCGCTGGGGCCCGCCTCCCTGAGCTACTTCCGGACTTCAGTAGAAGCTTTAGGCCGACCCTTTAAAATGCTTACGTCACTGCGACTCAGCCAATCGCCATCGTCAGAAAGTAGATGGGTTTTTAAGGGCACCAATCGAGGAAAAGTTGGGCGGAAACGAGACCATCTTGACCAATAAGAGAAAACGTACGGCGGAGAGACTCTCAGGAAGATGGCATCACTAGTCTGGCTACAAGCTGATTGGCAGGTGGTTTGACCACAAGGTGATTATCGTGGCTCGAGGGCCCCGTTCGGAGACGGGGCACGAGCCGAGCCCAGGGAGGGACCGGAGACACAGCCGCAGGTGTCCAGATAGCAGGAAGAGGATGGCCGCGGCGTGCGGAGTCTGGCGGGAAAATGGGGCGGGAGGTCTGACCCTCCCGGAAGGGGCGGAGCCGTGAGGGGCGTGGCCTAAAGAGCTCAGGGCCCGGGCTGGCAGGGAAGTCCCGGCTTGGGAGCACCGAGGTGGGCGTGACCGTCGGGTAGAGACTCGGGGCTGGGTCTGCAGGACGGGGGGCCGAGCTGGAAAGGCGAAAGGTTTAGGTGGGGGCGTTCCTGGGTCTTCACGGGGTTCAGAGGCAGCAGTGGCACTAGCCCCAGCCCGCCGCCCCCCCCCCCGTCTCATCCCCCTTAGACTCCAGGCCCTGCCCCCTGAGCTCTGCCCTCGGATGTCCGACCGCCCAGAGCCTGCATGCGCCGAGGGGCGCCCCAGGACCAGGAGCTGGTGGGTCCGGGGGCCCCTGGGCGGGGGTCCCGGGGCGCCCCTCCTCCCTCGGGACCTGTGGTCCCGGTGCTCGTCTTTCCACCGGATCTAGTATTCAGAGCGGACCAAAGGAGCGGACCCCGACAGCTGCTGACCCTCTACAACCCCACGGGAACTGCGCTCCGCTTCCGAGGTGCAGGGGTTTGCGCTTCGTCCTAGGGATCTTGGGGTGGGGTGGGGGGGCTGGCGGTAGGATACTGGAGGGGGGAGCTGTGTGGGCTTGGAGGAGTCAAGGAATAGGGGTGGATGTGCAGCGTTGGAACTGGGACAGCCCTGGGGCAGAAGGCAGAGGGGATTCTGGTGCCCTACCGGGAGTAAGACTTGCTTGGGGTCTTTTTTGGGGTGAATCTTCTTTCCAGTTCTGTGCACAGCACCTGCCAAATATACGGTGTTTGACGCAGAAGGGTTCGTAAAGCCTCAGTCCTGCATTGACATGTGAGTGAGTTGGGAGAGCGGAGAGGCCAGTAGAAGCCTGGGGTTAGGGCACCCTGCTGTCTCAGGTCTGAGATCTCCCCCTCTTCAAGCTGTTGCCCTACCCTCTGTCTGCACCCTAAGTGAAAAGCTCCTGGGACAGGGACAGACCTAGATTTCCCTGGTTAACTGCCTCCCACCACCTCTTTATCTTGGGGTCAGTGTGATTCGCCATGTGGCCCCCATTCCCAGCCACTATGATGTCCTGGATCGCTTCCGCATTGAGCTGTCCGAGGAAGGGGCTGAGGGCCGAGTGGTGGGACGGAAGGACATCACCTCCATACTGAGGGCCCCAGCGTACCCTCTAGAGCTTCAGGGACAGCCTGAGCCAGCACCCCACCCAGGACCACCTGCCTGGACAGCACCACTTCCGGCCAGACAGTTACAAGACAGTGAGTTGAGGGGCTGGGAAGGTGGCTCAGTGGTAGAGCGCTTGCCTTGCATGCCTGAGGCCCTGGGTTAGATTCCTCAGTACCACATAAGCAAAAAGAAAAAAGCCAAAAGTGGCGCTGTGGCTCAAGTGGCAGAGTGCTAACCTTGAGCTGAAGAGCTGAGGGACAGCGCCCAGGCCCAGAGTTCAGGCCCCTGACCAGACCCCCTCCCCCCCCCCCCAAAAAAAAGTGAGTTGAGTGATTGGGGATTCATGAAAGAGAGAAGGGTGTGGGGGGCGGGAGGGAGATGGGTGTTATGTGCATGTGTTGTGTGCCATTATTGGGGCTTGAGTGCAGGGCTTCCCTCTGTCCCTTAGTTTTACCACTCAAGGTTAGTGGTCTACCACTTGAACCACGACTTCACCTCTTGCTTTTTGGTAATTGAAAATGAGTGTCTCATTGTCATTCTTGTCTGGGCTGGCTTTGAACCTGGATCCTTAGATCTCATCCTCCTGAGTAGCTAGAATTAACAGGTATGAGCCATTGATGCCCAGTCCTTGAAGTCGGAACTAGCAATATATCTGCAGATAAGCTAAACCTGATTTAAAGAAGAAATGTTTTTGCCTTTTGGTGGTGACATTCCTAGTTGAGAGTTTATATCAATTAGGGGGAGGAAGTGCAATTTCTTTGGTGTCTAGTCTCTATGTAGAGGAAAATATTCCTCCTTAGCTCTGACTGCAATACTTCTTATCAGGTATCAGATAACTGCAGTCAAATGAGAAACCTGTACTAAGTAGTTAACTTGTACAGTTGGGTGCTGGGTTTGGGAGATAGAGAAAGGGCTCTGCTTGTCAGGTGAATACACAGAAGACAGTAATGAAGGCAGTAGGAAGAGAGGGACCAGAGAAGAGAGGGCTCCAGGGAAGAGAGGACACTTACAGTGTACCCATGGAAGGCAATAAAAGTAAATACATAAGCTGGGCACTGGTGGCTCATGCCTGTCATTCTTAGCTGCTCAGGAGGCTGAGATCTGAGGATCATGGTTCAAAGCCAGCCTGGGCCAGTGAGTCTGTAAGACTCTGATCTTCAGTTAAGCATCAAAAAGCCAGAAGTATAGGTGTGGCTCAAGGTAGAGTGAAAGGGCTAAAAGAGAATACCTTGGCTCTGAGTTCAAGCTCCAGTACAAAAGCTGATGCATCTTCAGCCTTGCCCCTGGGGAATCCTGGGTGGAGGCTGAAAGGGGCAGCAGTGCTGATGGACTTGTTTCCCAGACTCCCACCAGCAACTGGCCACCAGCTCCTTCCTGCTCTTCTTGCTGACGGGCATCGTCTCTGTGGCCTTCCTGCTGCTTCCGCTCCAGGATGAACTGGGCAGCCAGCTGCCACAAGTCCTCCATGTCTCCTTGGGACAGAAATTAGTGGCAGCCTATGTGTTAGGTGAGCCCAAGGGATTCTGACCTACTTCCAGAGACAGGGCACCAGGGGGCAGGGAAGGGCTGCTGACAGGAATCACTGTCCCTCTCCCCACCTCTAGGCCTCCTCACCATGGTGTTCCTCCGGACCTGAACTCCCTGCTCAGCCCCAGCCCATCTCTCCTCCCCAGGCAGGGACCTGAGGTGGCCACTGTGACACTCGCTCATACCTTGCCTCGACTTTCTTCTACTTCCTGACCACCCTCAGCTCCTCAGCTTCCCTGCACCTCCCCCCCCCCCCCCAAGAAAAACAACCAGGGATTTGTACTCATTTTCCAAGTTGAATAAAATACATTTTTAAAATCAAAATGAGAAATAGAGAGTATTTGCCCCTAGCTTCCCATTTCCTTTTGTGTGTGTGTGTGTGTGTGCGCGCATGCGCGCGCTATCTAGGCTTGAACTTGGTCTGTGCCCGAGTGCTATTCCTGAGCTTTTTGCTTGAGGTTAGCAGTCTACCACTTTGGGGTTGTTTTGTTTTTTCCTTTGGTTGGTAGTGGGGCTTGAACTCTGGGCCTGGGCGCTGTCCCTCAGCTCTTCAACTCAAGGCAAGTGCTCTACCACTTGAGCCATAGTGCCACTTCCAGTTTTCTGGTGGTTTATTGGAGGTAAGCGTCTCTTGGCCTTTCTTGCTCAGGTTGGCTGTGAACCATGATCCTCAGATCTCAGCCTCCTGAGTGGGATTACAGGCGTGAACCACTGGTGCCCAGCTTAGGCTTTTTTGATTTGGTGCTGGGCGCAGGTGGCTCATGCCTGTAATTCTAGCTACTCAGGATGCTGAGATCTGAGGATCACAGTTCTAAACCAACCTGGATTGTAAAGTCCCTTATCTCCAATCAACCACCAGAAAACAGGAAGTGGAGCTGTGGCTCAAAGTGCTAGAGCACTAGTGTTGTGCTCAGGGACAGTGCCCAAACCCTGAGTTCAAGCCCCACAACCCCAAAAAAAAGTGTTTTCTCTATCTACTCAGGCTGGCTTCCAGTCTGAATCCTCATCTCAGCCTCTGAGTAGCTAGGCATACAGGGGTGAGCACTGGCACCAGGCTCCCTACTTGTCTGGGTACAGACAACCTCCTCCATTCCCCAGGATTTGAGGGACCTGGGGCAGAGAGAAGAGGTCCAGTGAAGACATAATACCAGGTGGTGGGAATGTGGCTCAGTGGTAGTGCTTGCTTACATGCATGGAGCCCTGAGTTTGATTCCTCAGTACCATATAAACAGAAAAAGCTGGAAGCACTATGGCTCAAGTGGTAGAGTGCTAGCCTTGAGCAAAAGAAGTTCAGGGACAGGGGTTGGGGGTTTAGCCCAGCGGAAGGGCGCCTGCCCAGCGTGCGCAAGGCCCTGGGTTCGGTCCTCAGCCCTGGGGGAAAAAAAAAGTTCAGGGACAGTGCCCAGGCCCTGAGTTCAAGACCCACGACTGGGAAAAAAAGACTTAATACCATGTGACAATGAACAACTCATTTAGGTTCTCAGAGCTCTGCTTTCAGTCTCTAAAATGAGATTGAACCCAGGACCTTGCACATGCTAAGTACATATTTTATACCTACATCCAGGTTGATTCCAAATCTCCTGTGAGGGCTGAGCTTGGTAGCTCACACCCGTAATCCTAGCTTCTTGGGAGGCAGAGATCGGGAGAATCATGGTTCCAGGGCAGCTAAGGCAAAAAGTTAGACTCCATCTCAACAGAAAAATTTGGGCATGGTGGAGTACTTTATCATCCCAGCTACATCAGGAAATATAAACAGGACAGGGATCCTATGTATTGGGGACACCCTATGTATTGAAAACAACCAAAAAAGGCATTGGTGGTTCTATGCCTGTAATCCTAGCTCCTCAGAGGCTGAGATCTGAGGCTCAAGGTTCAAAGCCAGCCTGGGCAAGAAAGTCTGTGAGATACATATCTTTTTTTTTTTTTTTGGGGGGGGGTCCAGTCGTGGGGCCTGAACTCTGGGTCTGGGCGCTGTCCCTCAGCTCTTCAGCTCAAGGCTAGCGCTCTACCACTTGAGCCACAGCGCCACTTCCGGCTTTTTTTCATTTTGCTTATGTGGTGCTGAGGAATTGAACCCAGGGCCTCTGGCATGCAAGGCGAGCGCTCTACCACTGAGCCACCTTCCCAGCCCCATGAGATACATATCTTAAACTAACTACCAAACAGCTAGAAATGGTGCTGCTGAAGAGCACTTCAGTACAAAAGCTCAGGCACGGTGCCCAGACACTGAGTTCAAGCCCCAGGACTGGCAAAAACAAAGAAAAATAGAAGAAAAAAAGAATAAAAAGGCATTGGAGGCTTGACAGCCTGCCCAGCAAGGGTGAAGCTCAGTGTTCAGACCCCAGTAACAGTGGCCAACAGCATGACAGATGGGGCTAGGGTGTAGCTCCTGGAAGGATGGGTATGTACTTAGCTTGCAGGAGACCCCAGTTTCAATCCCCTGCTTTCAATTATAAAAAAAATAGCAGTTTTATGCTCTTACACTTCTAAGGGTCAGAACTCCATAATTAGTCTTTTGGAGCTAAACTCAAGCTGTTCAAAGGCTGAGTTTTCTCTGAGAGGACCAAAGACAGAGTTGATTTCTTTGTATTTTTCAGCTTTTCTAAGCCATTTATGGTCTTGTCTTTTAATTAAAAAAAAATTTAAATGCAAGGCTGGGTACTCGTGGCTGGTGTCTGTAATCTTAGCTACTCAGGAAGTTGAGATCTGAGGACTGCAGTTAGAAACCAATCTGGACAGGAAACTCTGTGAGACTCTAATCTCCAATAAACTTACAAAAAAAAAAAAAAAGTTGGAAGAGGTGCTGTGGGTCAAGTGGTAGAGTGCTAGCAGTGAACAAAATAAGCTCAGGGACAGCGCCCAGGCCCAGAGTTCAAGTCCCAGGACTGGCAAAAAAAAAAAAAAAGTAAATAAATTTAAATGCAAGTGCCAAGGCTTGAACTCAGAGCCTGTCTCACTATCACACACCTTTTTTGCTCAACACTGGAACTCAATCACTTAAACCATGCTAGCCAGGAGCTGGTGGCTCATACCTCTAATCCTAGCTGCTTAGGAAGCTGAGACCTGAGGATTGGGGTTCAAAGTCAGCCTGGGCAGGAAAGTCCGTGAGACTCTTTATCTCCAAAAAACCACCAGAAAACTGTAAGTGGTCCTGTGGCTCAAGTGGAAGAGTGCAGGGACAGCACCCAGGCCCGTGACTGACAAAAACCAAAACGAACAAAACAAAAACATGCTGTTTAGTTGGAGTCTTTGCCCAGTCTGGCTTTGAACCTCAGATCTCAGCCTCAGGTGAGACTCTTTTTTTTGTCTGTTGTGGGGTCTGAACTCTGGGCCTAGGTGATGTCCCTCAGCTCTTCAGCTCAAGGCTAGCACCCTTTTTTTGTCTGTCGTGGGGTCTGAACTCTGGGCCTAGGTGATGTCCCTCAGCTCTTCAGCTCAAGGCTAGCGCCCTATCACTTGAGCCACAGAGCCACTTCTGGCTTTTTTCTGCTTATGTGGTGCTGAGGAATCGAACCCAGGGCCTCATGCATACAAGGCAAGCACTCTACCACTGAGCCAACTTCCCAGCTTATCAGGTGAAACTCTTTATCTCCAGCTGACTAGGGGAAAAAAAAAACATCAAACTTGAGGCATGACTCAAGCAACAAGAGTACCAGCTGTGAAAAGGCCAAGCAAGAACTTGGGAGCCCTGAATTTGAGCCTCGGTACCAGCACAAATACATGTGTGCACATACATACAAAGACTGTCATGAAGACAGCACTAGTGGCACTTACCTGTAATCCTAGATATTTAGGATTCCTATCCTTAAGCCCATATCCGACCTGGGGTAGGCAGGTAAGAGTTCATCCCTACTGTGTGACTGGGAGGTGGAGGAAGGCAGGTACCTACCATTAATGCCACATTGGCCCAGTAGACCTCACTCCCAAAATGTAAATCCAAAGATAAAACTGTTAATAATTGTCAAATGGCAATTGCAGAGAAAAACCTTAGGAAAAAAGCTAAGCAGCAGTGTGAGGACCTGAATTCAAGCCCCAGTCCCAGCACAAAACAAAAACGATAAATAAAAACAATAGAGTGGGTCAGGTCTGGGTACCTGTGCTGTTCTTACCAAGTTGAAGAGCAGAAACTCATATGCCTGGGAGGGTCTAACCCTTACCCCAAGATCCTCCCCGCTTAAGGAAATATGACTTTTGTTGTTGTTGTTCAGATCCTCAGGCTTCAACTCTGGGCTCTGGAGCTGTCCCTTAGCTTTTTTTTTTTTTTTTTTTTGTCAGTCGTGGGGCTTGAAACTCTGGACCTGGGCGCTGTCCCTGTGCTCTTCAGCTCAAGGCGAGCGCCATACCGCTTGAGCCACAGCGCCACTTCCGGTTTTCTAGTAGTTTATTGGAGATAAGAGTCTCACAGACTTTCTTGCCCGGACTGTCTTTGAACCTGGATCCTCAGATCTCAGCCTCCCGAGTAGCTAGGATTACAGGTGTGAGCCATCGGTGCCCGGCTGTCCCTGAGCTTTTGTTGCTTAATTAAAGCTGGTGTACTACCACTTAAGTCACAGCTTCACTTCTAGCTTTCTGGTAGTTAATTTAAGGTAAGAATCTCAAGGACATTTCTGCCCTAGCTGCCCTCAAACCAGGATCTCAGCCTGAGTAACTAGGATTACAGGCATGAGCCACTGGTGCCCAGCTCTAGCTTATTTTGTTTTTGTTTTTTGGGTCTGGTACTGGGGCTTGAACTCAGGGCCTGGACGCTGTCTCTGAGCTCTGTTTGCTCAAGGCTTGTGCTGTACCACTTGAGCCACAGCTCCATGTCTGGCTTTTTTGGTAGTTTATTGGAGATGAGAGTCTCACAGACTTTCCTGCCCAAGCTGGCTTTGAACTGCGATTCTCAAATCTCAACCTTCTGAATAGCTAGGATGACAGGTGTGAGCCACAGGCACCCTGCTAAGCTTGTTATTTTTGAGGCAGGGTCTCACATAGTGCAGGTTGGTTTCAAACTCCAGAACCTCCTTCCACTGGCTCTTAAGTGCTGGGATTACAGGGGCGAACTACTATGCCTGGCTGTGTTCCTGCTTTTTCACAGTCTATACCAGACTGTGCAAATTATGTCTGTAATCTCAGGTCCCAAAGCCAAGCCACCTTCCTCCAGTCCCCCACCCCCACCCCCATTACCTCTGTGGCCATTGGAAGAACAACCCTTCATTCTTTGCCAAGGCAGTTTCCTTAGGCTTTCCCTGGGTCTTCCAGTGGATCCAGTATCCTTTCCGTGTTCCCTGGTCCCTGCTGTCCACCCCTTCCTTAGGACTGCAGGGAGGGATGAGAGGTGGGGAGGA